AAAAAAAAAAAGCAAAACACAGTTCTATACATAATCACCAAAAAGCGGAAATAACACAAATGTTCAAGGGTGAATGGATTAACTTGGGTACAACAATACAATGGATTACTTAATAAAAAAGACTATTAATACACACAATAACATGGATGAATCTCTAAGGCATTACCCTGAGTAAAAGAAGCCAGTATCAAAAGGTTACATACTGAATGACTCCATTTACATGACACTGTGGAAAAGACAAAACTTAAGCAATTAAGAATACACCTCTCACCAACTGGGGGTGAAAGGGCAACATGAAGCTTTTTGAGATGACAGATCTGATGGAAAACTGATTTTGGTAGTAATAAATTTTTATACATGTGTTAAAACTCATAGAACTGTACACCAAGAAAGTCAACTTCACTGAATGTTAATTTAATTTAAAAGTAAAATAAAGATTAGGAGAATGATCTCTGTGAACCCTTCCAGACTATGATTTTATGAATGAGAAGGAGAGGAAAGGAAGATGGGGAAAGGGGAGGGAAAGCAAATGCTAAATCCTACTGGCCTAAAAACCACACTCATAAGAACCTCCTGATTACTGCACAAAATAAACAAAGCAAACCCAATCTTCATAAATTCATTCCCAGAAGAGGCTAAGAAAACCAGACATTCAGATCCAAAATGTGCATATTAGAAAATGCCTGTGAATGCGTCTTCTTGTCCGTTTCTATATTTTATACTTCCAAGAAGCTGCCAATTTCTCCTGGCTAAGTGCCACTTTCCCTGCTTGGGGTTACTCAACTTACAAGCATTCCTTTATTTATACCTTACCCTCTCAGTGATGGGGTCTTTGGCAGTCCCAATAAAGATCTGCCAGAAAGATCAGTGCTCCTCACCCGGAACCAAGGTCCCTGCGGGGCACAGCACACGCGTGACTGACCTGAGGACGCTAGGCAAGGAGGTCTTCCTCACTAGTCAGAAACCGTCCCCCCCACCAAAGCTCCCAAAGTTGAAGCCGATGGAGACCAGGCTCTGGGAACTTCTCCCTCCCCCCGAACAGCCAGAATGCCTGGGGTGCAGCTGGCCGTTTCAAGGGCTGCCCTGGTGTGGAGCGTGCGCTCCACAGAAGGCTCAGCCCAGTGACCTTGGGTAAGTCCCTCCTCTTCCAGAGTGCAGCAGTAATCTCGGTATGTTGCCTAAAGGAGTTTACCACAGCCCTGTCCGAATCGGAGATTTTCTGGATCGCCCCCCCGCCGACAAGAGCCCGGCTCGCCCAGACCCCATCGCTGCCTCACCCCCCTCATCCCCCCACCGTCACGAAGAGCCTTGAGGAGACTAACAGCCGGCCCGAGGGCACGGCCTGAAGGCAAGAGGAAAGCAGAACAGCAAAATCCTGGTCTCTGGCCCCTCTGCCCAGAGCAGGCCGCCGGGCCGCATTCCTGCCCTCCCCTCCTTGGGGTCCCCACTTGCCGGGGCAGTGGAGCGCGCACCGGGTCCGGGCCGGGTGAGGGACCGAAGCGAAGGTGGGGGGAGGGGGGTAGCGCCCACCTTGAGCTGGGACTTGGAGACCTTGCCGCTGTGGTCCAGGTCCAGCGCGGTGAAGGCATGCCAGATGGCCTTGAGCAGCTCGTCCTTCAAGCCTCCCATGGCCGCGGTGTGTCTATCCTGACTGCCAGCCTCCCTCGCCGACCCTGGGGCGAGTCTGACGCCCCTCTACCGCCACCGCCGCGGCCGCCGCCGCCGCTGCCCGCCCTGCAGTCACCTGACCGTGGCAGGCCCCGCCCCCACCAGGCCCCGCCCACTCGCTGCTTGCCCGCAGCCTCGCGCACTAGGGTGGGAGCGTTAGGGTGGACCGGACTTCCCACTCCTGCGGGTGGGAATACAGGCCTTCTTGCAGGCTTAGACGCAGAGCACTACCCCGCATGCCTCTCGAGTTCCCCAGACCGTCTCGGGCCACCTTCGGGGCTCGCGTGCCCCTAAACAAGACCCGCATTCCGAGTTAAAATATGAGAATCGGCGAGAGCAGCCTCTCAGCTCCAGTCCGCGCTGCTCAGTGAAAAAGGGAGCCCTGGACCAACCAGTCCCGCGGACGCGCCACTGTCTGAGGAGAACTAACAAGAGCCGGAAAAGTCCCCGAGCTGGGGCTCCAATGCTAGCGCAGTTCCTAGCCAGAGAGGATGTAGAGGGGGAGGGGAGGCAGGGAAGGGCGTCTGAGGGAAGGTTTATATTCATTTTTCAAACGTTTCCTGATGCCTACTATGTAGTGGGCTCTGGGGGCCCAGAGACGAGATTTAAGGTTGGTTTAGAAGCCGCGCGGTCAGGCAACCTTTTCTTTCTAATCCTCAGTTGTTCGGGGTCAGTTTACAACTTAGAAAGAGTTTGACCCTGGTTATTCTGCTGTTCCTGGTGTTTCTGTGCTGGCACAATAGGAGTTATGAGAGAATCCCAGCAAATCACTCCACCCATTTTACTAGTCAGAATGGGTGGACCATTTAAAAGTACACGTCCAAGCCTATAAGAGCGTCCTCCTCATTGTAGATGTTCAACTAATATCTGTTAACAATGATCACCTGAGCTCTGTGGGCTTCAAATTCTCCACATAAAAATGAGCATGTTGTACCAGATATTCTGGGGGGCGGGGGGGGGGGTCTTCTAAGGGTCACATCCTAGGATAATAAGGATTGCTGGCTGACTCCAATCTGATTAAGTCACCAGGCACAGTGCCTTGCCTCTCCAATCCAAGACTGAATCTGGACGCTATGAAGAGAACAAGTGCCAAGAGTTTTCAAAGAGATAATTCTCAGATCAAGTTTGGCTTTGTTTTCCTCTTTTATGTTCCTAAATGCACATATACGTACCTTATAAAAAAGGAAAAGTTCATATAAAGGAGGGGGATTTGGAAAAAGAAAAGGAAGAAATTGCTCAATGAGCTTGAGCCCAAAGGAAACTTGGCGGGGCAGAGGAAAGGGTAGCCTAGGTGAAGGGAAGGAGCAGAAGTAAAGGGGCTGCTGGTCCTTCACTGTGAGGGCTCTTGAGGCCCTACCCTACGTCATCACCATTTGTCAGGGTTTTTCTTGCTGTGTCAGTATTGTTTCTATCATTTATCTTCCCCAATTCCAATCCAAACCTGCCAGTCAGCAAAAACACATGATTCAACCTTTAATTTCTGAATGCCAACTCAGCTTTCCCTGGGTAGTGACAAAAAAAATAAACTCTCCTAATTCTCAGGGTTCAGCTTAACCACTAGATGGTTCTCTCAGTATCTGTTAGCACCAAATAAATATTTCAAAGCATTTTTTAATGATCACATGACTAGGACATTCTGAACTTCCACATTCCCATTTCTTCCACAATCTCAATTCTCATAATCCAAACAAATTTTAAAAGCAGAATGATGTCATGAAAAGAACTGTGCTTTGGAATCTAACAGATTATATTAGTTATCTATGGCTGTGTAACCAATTAACCCTAAATTTAGCTCAAAACAATAATAAATGTTATTTCAAAAAATAAAACATTGTATCATATTTTTTCAATGACAGGGATGGGACACATAATTTGTCTCTTTAATTCATAGTTGTTCGGATGAAGAGGAGCTCTAATTAAAGACCCTCATACACCTGGACCCGACTTTGATGTGATCCTAGACTTCAAGCCAATTCCATGAAAGGGACATGAATTGTAGTGTCTGGAATGAGGTGAGGACTATGGTGGATAATGTCCAAGATGGCAGCAATTAACTGTGTCCCTCTCTATGGATCCATACTGCTCTAAATATCAAGGGGCACCTGGGTGGCTCAGTCGGTTAAGCGGCCGACTTCGGCTCAGGTCATGATCTCGCGGTCTGTGAGTTCGAGCCCCGCGTCGGGCTCTGTGCTGACAGCTCAGAGCCTGGAGCCTGTTTCAGATTCTGTGTCTCCCTCTCTCTGACCCTCCCCTGTTCATGCTCTGTCTCTCCCTGTCTCAAAAATAAATAAAACGTTAAAAAAAAAAATTTAAAAAAAAATACCAAAAGGCAAATCTAATTCCTCTCCCTTCAGATATGAGGTGGACTAAGTGGCTTGTTTGGCCAACAAAACGTGACAGAAGTAGCAGCCTGGGACTTGTAAACCAGGTCATAAAAAGCCTTTCGACCTTAACCTGGATTTCTTGGAATTCTTACTCTCGGAATGCTCCCTTTTGGAACCTTGCCGCCATGCTGTGAGAAGCTAAGGACACATGGAAAACCACAAAGAGAGAGAACAATGCTGGCCAGATCCCAGCTGTTTCAATCATAACAGCCTAGAGACCAGATATATGAATGAAGGAGCCATCTTAGACATTCTAGTCCAGCAGACACTACATGGAAAAGAACCCAAACCTGAGACCTATGACCCCAGTCAAGCTGTCCCTGACATCTCCAGCCGTTTTCTAGCCAATGCAGCTTAGGTCCCAGACATTGGGAAGCAAAAACAAACCATTCCTTCTGTACCCTGCCCAAACTTCTGGCCACTGAAGCATGAACATAATGAAATGGTAGTTCTTTCATGCCACCAAGTTTTGAGTGGTTTGTTATGTAGCATTAGATAACTGAACAACGGTGAAAAGATATGTTCCCAAGATAATATTTCCTTCCCCTGCCCACCAAAGAAGATTCTGCCTTGGTCTGCTCATTCCTCCCCTCCCCTGGCTTCCAAGAGAGTCCTACCTTCCCAGACTAGTTCTTGAGTTGTTTCTTGTCAGGGAGAATTAGGAAGAAAGGAAGAGAGAAAGACCACAATGCAGACATTTGGTGGGGGAAAGGACAGTTGTTGATAAGAAAGAAAAAGCAGCTCTAGTGTGTGAAGGTAGTGGGTGAGAAAAGGGGGATTCTAACAGGTCTCATGGAGGACTACATAGTTCCATAGTGTTTGAAAGGTATAGATAAAGGAGTTGAAACCCATTCAAATAGTTTGGACTAGATAGACTTTGTTCTCTCATTTAAGACTAGCTTAGTTATGGCTAATACTCGTGGCTTTCTAAGTGTTACAAACAAACAGCATGCCCTCCCCTTGGACTGCATTCCAGACCATCCTGTGTTTTTCTGCTAAGTGCTACGAAGGGGAAGTATGGGTTGATATGAGGGTGTACACAGGTGAATATGCTGCTCTGTCGGGAACAGAGAGGGCTGCAAACGAGGAATGACAGTGAGGCTGAGTCCTGAAGGATGAGCTGTAGCTAACTGGGCAAAAGTGAGGGAAGAAACTTCCACCAGACAAATAACAGCCTAGACAAAGCACGGTTTAGTCAAGAAACCCAAGTGAAAGAAGGTGTGGAGAACAAAGGCGAGAGGAGAGATGTGAGAAGAAATTGGAGAGGCTGGGATCTGAGGCCAAATAAGCCAGGAGCGCCAGGCCTGTCAGTTAGGTCTGTAGAGCTCTTATCTTCCCCAGGGGCCTGAAATACCCTGAAATCAGTGGCACAATCTGGCAGCAAGAAGCAGAAATGCTGAACAACTGTGCCTGAAGTTGCAGATGTGGGAGTGGTGTCCAGCCTCTGGCCACTCAGCTGCTGATAGCATCTTCATTACTGCCATTACCCCACAGCTTTACTGTGGGGTACCCCCACAGCTTTTGCGGGGAAACTTCTGGTTCCATGGGAAATTTCATAAACCAGTCCCAGAATTTCAGTAGCACCTCAGGGAGTCAGGCCTGCCCCACACCCTCAGACCCAGGTGAAATCGCAGTCCCCTCACCTGGTAAAAACAACAGCCCTCTCTGCCTCATGAGGGTGTTATTGTGAGGAACAAATAAGATACCATCTGTGAAAGCAGACATAATCACTAAAGCCTATCCAAATGGGAGGGGCAATAGTGACGAACAAGAAGGAAGAGAATAATAATAGAGTTCTGATGCCAAGAAGGACAAAAGCCTCTTGAGGCTTTAGGGCTGGGCGGTTTGCTCAAGACGCAAAAGCAGCAAAATTTGACCTTTTAATGATAACTGTGTGACAGGGCTAATTCTGAAAGCCTTCTCAGACAACATTAGCTGGAGTTTTAGCCGAGCCCAGTAGTCCATGGAATATCCTGATTTAATGATCTCCTACTGAGAAAAAGGCCAGATCTACTGACTCACAGAATGCATGAAAATCAATGTCAATGTTACCCACTGAGGATAGGGATGAGGGTAGCCTTCTCTAAGGTGAACACTGAGTCTTGAAAATTAGTTGGGGCACCTGGGTGGCTCAGTCAGTTAAGCATCCGACTCTTGGTTTCGGCTCAGGTCATGATCTCATGATTCATGGGATCAAGACCCACATTGGGTTCTGTGCTGACAGTGCAGAGCCTGCTCAGGATTCTCTCCCTCCCCCTCTCTCTCTTCCTCCCCTGCTCACATGCACGTGTGCATGTTCTCTCTCTCTCTCTCTCTCTCTCAAAATAAATATTTTTTTCAAATATAAAAAAAAGTACAAAAATTAGTAAAAGTTTACAAACAGCTGTAGAGGAGAAGGAAGGGCATTCTAGAAAGAGGTAGCTGAATGTGCAGAAGTATAAAATCCTCCCCCCCAAAAAAAGAAAAAAAGCACACGGGAGATGAAGGGCTGAGGGAGAAAGAGGAATGTAGAATGGTATTTTGGCTTGGGGCGCCTGGGTGGCTCAGTCAGTTAAGCGTCCAACTCTTGATTTCTTT